GTAGGGAATTTAACAATGCCTATTTTCATAGTACCGGGGTACAGTCAACATCAGGTGTCATTCATGCTCAATTTCCCTCATGGTTCAAGCAAACATTGTCTAGCGTTCCTGCACTAACTCCAGAAATACTCCATTTGAGAAACTTGGCAGAAGGCCCTATCCAAAGCGCAAATGATTGGCACACATACTTCGTGAACGGATATAAATTTCACACTGAGGCATGGACCGAAGGGAAAAAAAACCATAAATAGTGGTGTTTTTGTAAAAGGAGTTACAGATGGCGGTGAAGACGACTTCTATGGATTTGTTAAACATATCTACGAGTTGGTATACAATTACTTGGACACGGAAAATAAAGTTGACTTGTTTTATTGTGAATGGTATGATCCAACTAGAGGCACAAAGATAGACAAGTCATATGGTTCTGTCGAGATTCAAATGAACCGGAGATACAAAGAATATGACCCTTTCATAATGTCACATATTGTTAGGCAAGTTTATTATGTTCCTTATCCTTCATTTGTAATACGTAAAAGAGGATGGTGTGTTGTAATAAAAACAAAACCGCTAGGTCATATTGAAACTGGAGATCTAGTGGAAGATGTTGCCTACCAAGTTGATGACGTTGAACAGATTAATGATGTGGTTGCAGCTGAAGACATTACAACTTTGTCCGATACAACTGTTGAGGGCCTTCAAGTTGATGCGTCTATATTGTTGGTTTATAATAATGTGGATGAAGACAATGATGAAGAGTTTGAATCCGAGGACAATATTACATCGGATGATGAACATGATATGGATAACGAGCATGAAGATTTAGATTAATTAATCACTTAATGTAATATTAATGAATATCTATTGAACATGTATATATTGAATTTGTCAATGAATATATATTTATGTCAATGACTTTATTATCTTTGTTTATGAAAATATATATAACTAGGTAAAATGGCACCGAAGAATAAGGATACCGGTAAGAAGTCTCAGCGTCCGAGGGTAGTAACATGTGAGTCTCCTCACTCAGCCATGTGCCCACCCCCTCAGAGTCAGGTTGATCATATGTCCCTGGCCAGTACTCAGGGTTTTGTCCCATTACTCTCCTCCCATACATTCCCGTCTGGGGTACCTGCATCTTTTGTGCCACCTGGAGGCCCCGGTTTTCTTTTCCCACAGACTCAGATGCCGTCTTCCTTCCAGCATGCGGGAGGATCTAGTTTCCCTTTCCCACCAACCCAGATGCCGTCATCCTTCCAGCAGGCGGGAGGATCTAGTGTTCCTTTCCCACAGACTCAGATGCCATCTTCCTTCCAGCATGCGGGAGGATCTAGTTTCCCTTTCCCACCGACCCAGGTGCCTTCATCTTTCCAGCAGACTGGTGTCCCCTCATCATTCCAGCAGACGGGGGGAGGACCCAGTTTTCCATTTATACAGACTGACGTGCCTTCATCATTCCAGCAGACAGGGGGACCCACACAGATGTATTCATCCTTCCAGCAGGCGGGAGGGTCCAGCACCCCACACTCCACACACATTGGAGGACCCAGCAGTCCACGTCCGACACAGGCTGCAGGATCCCGCACCCCACGTCCTAGACGGACCGGAGGGTCACGCACCCCTCATCCCATACAGGCTGCAGGATCCAGCACCCCACGTCCTACACAGGCTGACGGTGATGCAGATGTCGTAGCTGATGATATAGATGGAGCTGATATTCGTGAGAGATCAGATGATCCGAGTGAGATTCATGTCATTGACGGGAGGTTTTGGATTTGGCCCGAAGGAAGCAAGTAAGTTTCTTATATAAACTTTTATTTAAGTACATATTCATTTTAATATTTTGTATAAATTTATAATTAATATTGTTTATTCAAAATCTTGTTGTTTAGTTTCGCGCCGAGTCGGACGGCTGCCAAGGTTATTAATTATATAATCCAGCAGATGTATAAATCCTCTTGGAAGAACTTTGGCGAGGTTACAAATAAAGAAGAATGGTTTAAAAAATTTAAGGTATTGTTATTTATTTAAGTTGTAAATTTATTATATTTTTTTAGTATTGTTATTTAAGTCACATTTTAATGATAATTGCTTAACTTTTTATTTTAATGTCATACAACATTGCAGGAAAAATGTGTGTGGGATCCGTTGAATAAAAAAATTATGGAAAAAATCTATTATAGCAGAACTTCTAGAAGATTTTCTGATATAATGCGGCGGGTTAGGGAGAATTATGAGTTGCATGGTATCCGTCCTAACTGGATAGGCGTAGAGGTTTTTGGCGAACTTCGTACATATTGGGGTTCGCCAGAATTCAAGGCCAAATCCGAAAATTTTAAGAAGATGAGGGCATCCGAAAAGGGGGGATGTGTCAATACTGTTGGAAGTATTAGCACTGCAGAGCATGTCCGGCGGATGGTAAATATTACTAATTTTTAAAGTTATATATATTTTTATTCATAATATTTTTTACTAATTATTTTTAACTTTATTGTTTAGACTAAGGAGATGGGGAGACCACCATTGATCATTGAGTTGATTACGAGGACTCGGACAAAGAAATCGGGAGGTTTTGTCGACGACCGCACCCAGAAAGCTTTTGTAAGTAATTAAACTTATGTTTTTTTTTTAAGTTAATAACAAAAATAGTGACGTTATTTCCACGTGGCAATCTATAAGTTGTGGCGTGATTATCATGTGGCAACTGATAAATTGCTAGGTGACTGATTTTCATGTGGCAACTGATACATTGCCACGGGAAACTCACGTGGCAATTCATAAGTTGATTTGTGAAAATCACGTGACAAATTTTTAATATATTTGAATTTAGTATAATTTAATATATAAATGTTTTAATTTTTTTTTAATTGTATTATTTAATGTATGTGTAGGATGATTATCAGACATTGCTAGCACGTTTTCTGGAACACAATCCGCAATATAGGCCAGCAGAGGGGGAGCCGCTTAATGGGGATGTTGATTTCTATATTTGGAATGAGGTTGTTAATGGAAAAGGGCCTAATGGTTGCTTTTTTGCGGGAGGAAATTTGGCCGCCGGCTTGAGAGTTGGTGATCGTAATCTGTTTCAAAGACTTAGAGATGGAGAAGGGGGGTCACGTCAACCCAATCTGACTCAGGTTCAACTTGAAACAGTACGACAATTGGCGGCCAGTGAAGTGAGACGCGAAATGGAGGCCCAAATGACGACAATGAGGCAAGAGCAGGAGCGTCAGTTAGAGATCATGCGGAAGCGGCAATCTGATATGGAGGAGCAGATGAGACAGTTTATGCAAGGCGGTCGAAATCAAAATGTTCCTGATCATACACAGCCGGATGATGACGGACTTGATGACTTTGATCTTGATAATTTTCCGGGTGAAGATGCCCCGTGAAAACATTTTTTTTATTTCGTTTTTATATTTGCATTTATGTAAGATATTTATTTTTATCATTTTAAATTATTAAATTATATAACATTTAATTATATGAATTTATTTTATAAAATTCTATTATTCGAAATATAAAATAAAATACTATTATTCTAATAATTTTAATATATAAATTTTATTATATAAAATTTATTATATAAATTTTAATATATAAATTTTATTATATAAATTTTATTATATAAATTTTATTATATAAATTTTATTATTTAAATTTTATTACATTAATGAATTAATATAAAAAATAATTATTAACAATTTTTTAAAAAATAAAAACGTCCCCTGTAGCGACGTGGGAATCATGTCACAAATTAGTGACATGACTCTCACGTCGCTAATAAAGCTGCCATTAACAAATATGTAGCGACGTGAATACCACGTCACAACTTTGTGACGTGGGAATCACGTCGCTACTTGCTTGTCACTTACTCCCCAGCGACATAACTCACCACGTCGCTAATTTTGCTTTGCCACGTGATTTTGATGTTTGCCACGTGATTTTCACGTGGCAACTAAGCTTCTTTTTTGTAGTGTATATTGTTAAAATTGTCACTGATTCTGATCTAATGTTGTCGCTAGGTAGTTTGTTGATCATGCTAGACAATTTACTGATCTAGGTGTTTGTTGAAAGGACTTATATGTGGTTAGTGGCACATAGGGGATATGATATCGTGGCCAGGACTTATATGCTACATTTTGTATGTTACACAATCTTGGTAGACAAGTTACATCAGGACTTATATGCTACATTTGGTTGGTTACACAATCTTAGTAGACAATTTGCATCATTACATCAATTAAAAGTATATTGAATTGTTCTTTAATCTTGGATATCACGGAAGGGCATGGGGATGCGCTGCTTTGGTGATGCTTTATGACTACTTAAAAGAGGCTATTAACCTTGGTATGTGGTTGTTGCGAGTTTATGAGCAAGCTAAACATGTAAATATTTTATCATAATCCATCATTATATAATTTATGTAAAGTAATGCAATATTAATTGTTATTTCCCAATACAATGTTACATATACGAGCAATTTTCTACCTAATGTAATAAGAAAACGTCTCATTAACGGCTACTCCAAGACAACTAGATGAGACAAACATTCTATGTTCAGGGCCATTCATGAGTACAAAAGTAGGATTGATGCATTGCCACAAAAATGATATCATCTAGACACTATACACAAACTAGTACTGGTGCACATAGGATGTGATAAAAATGTGATATTCTCCAACTGTCACGACATACATTATATAGCCCATCTCCCGCCCCTAGTGTATTTGATTGGTAGAGCCTATAAATGATAGTCGTTCTTACAAAACCTTCTTATTATTTCTGGTTTTATGATTTCTTGTATGTTGTATTAGTTAAACAACTTTTTGGATGAAGTACACACTTTGTAACATTCTAGTCCAAACTAATTTGAATCTGGGGCCATTATAATTCATACCTTTTTAGTTTCTTTTTAAAGAAAAAAAGCAATACCTCCAGCATTGTAACTAATGGACCATCAAACATCAATAGTTAATTCAGTAGCATAGCAAGGGTGCTCAACATCCACAAGACATCGACAACATTACTAATTTACCATATACTGCTGCAAAACTAAAACTTAAAATTGGTTACTACAATGTAAAAATACTGAAAGACTTATACTTCAGAACAATACCAACAAATATATTACCATGATGTATTTATTGGGAGTATACAATTCTTGAGTATAATATTCTTCTCTTTCATTTCAACAAACAAACTCTCATCCTCGTCAACTTTTTGAAACCGAAAATAACCATGAATCAAAGTATTATAAGTCACAACATGAGGCTCAATACCCTTATTTTTCATATATTCATGAAATCTAATAGTAGTATTGAATCTCAAAGATAAAAACATACCCCAAAGAAGAATATTATAAGTATGTCTAGTAGGTTCAATACCTTCCCTCAACATCTCATTGTAAATCCTATTTGTCATCATGTACCTTCCCCTCCTCAAAATCACTTTAGACAAAGCATCATATGATTTAACACTTCTCTGATCCAATTTCTGAAAGATCTTAACAGCTTCCTGAACAATCCCAGCCCACCCATAGCCTTAAATCAAAGCAATAAACATGTCTTCATCGTAAGGAAGGTCTTTCTGCGGCAAATCAAGGAGAAGACACCGAGCAGGGTTTAATTTGGATAAGCGGGTTAAGATTTGAAGCATTTTGAGAGTGGTGTCTGCATCGTGTGTGGAGAGATTCGAACATTCGAGCCATCGGTAGAATTTCAGGGCTTGATCAAGGTTTATGGATGCGTGAAGAATGTTCCAGACGAGATTGGAATCGAATTTGGGGGCGATTGAACGGGTCGAGTTCTGGAGACGAGTTGTCTAGACACGGTTTACTAGCATGCAGGAGATTATAAGTTCGGGGTTGGATTGGGAGGGTTGGGATTTTGATTGGGGTTTGAGTTGGGGAGAGGTGGTGGTTTGGGAGGGGAATGAAGGGGATAGGGTGGTGATTTTGATTAAATGGAGCTAACGATTGGTGATGTGGTCTGACACATGCAATTTAAATTCTTTTAACATTATTTTTTAATGATTATGATATATTAAAACAAATTCTATGTGGTATATGTTTGATGAAATAATGTTGTAATCCTAAAATAGCAAACAAATATCAAATGAAACCCTAAAATCTCCCTCTTGCTCATTTGAAATGGTGGTCTTATTTGTTTGAAGTGTAGTTCAAGTGCAACTTGAAGCTTTCATTTTGTATTGTTTGTAGTTGTTGTTCGGTAGTTTTGGTCCTAAGTCAGGGGAATTATTTTATTTTTTTGATTTGTTTATGGTACCCTCTTGCTAGACAACTTACATTTTTTTTGCATTTTGTGTTAGGTGGACTAGTTTGTTGTAACATAGTGTTGATTGTTAATGGTATATGTGGACCACTTTGTTGTTAATGTCTAAGTTATCATGTTTACAAGATGGGAGTTTGAAGCACCTTTGGAGAGTAAAAAATGAAACTTTGGTAAGACCATTTTTGAAGGTTGGAGGAAAGTAAGTCAGATACCTTGGCAATCATATTGCAAAGTTGGGAGTCTGAGAAATTGTGATTTTTGAAGAAGTTGAGAACATAGTCAAGTTTTTGGGTGATTTTGAATCGGAGACGGTGGGTGGAGCAAAATTTGGATGCAAATTGTAGGGAGAAACTGAAATTGTGGATGAGGTAGGAGGCAATAAATGAGGTTGAATCTAAAGTGTCGGTGTAGAAATGGAGAGAAAATAGTGATGGACAGTGGTGGAGAAGAGGATTAGGGTTTGGCGATAGTGGTGTTAGTCCCTTGAGATAGATTAGGGTTCTATTGAAGTTGAACATGATTGATTGATGGAGTAAAAATTAAAAGAAAGGGAACATTGTTGTTAGAAAATGGATTCAAATATTGAATATGAATACAACTTTTTTGTTAACTTCAATCTATAGTTGACGGTTGTAGAGGGCCAAAATAGGGATTTCATGATTGGGTGGCTTCACGACGGTGGTGCGTCGAAAGTGAAATAGAATGCATAGTTATTCGGCGTTTCAAAGAATAGAAATAAGGGGAAAAAATTTAAAAAACTAGGTGTCAGCTGGAATAACATGATTAAGATTATCCTAAAGTCATTTGTACCAATTTAAAAGTGAAATGGGAGATACGATACGAGAGAAGAGGGCATACATGCAAACCGACACTGACAAAATAAAACAAAAAGGTAGAGTCTCAGACATCCAAAAAAGGATAAAATTGACATTAATCAGGTAATGGATTTGTGTTTATATGTGAGACGGCGCAAGCGCGCAAACAAATGTACAAGTGTGACACATGACACGAGATACTATATGTGATACGGTGGCAGAATCGACTATTTTACTAGTTTGCGTTTTGCGTTTTTTATTCGCAAAATGTCGCGATAAGCAAGAGTCGCCACCGACTTTTATTTCATCCAACTAAGGAAAAGGAAAAAGAACAGAAAAAACCTTTTTTCGAGAATATTTCTGAGTACGGGGGGTAGATTATAGAAAAGGAAGGTGTTAGCACCCTTTCCGTCTGTGGTTTTCCCTGGGCTCTTAGGTACTTGCTCATTTTGAAATTGCTTGTGTGTGCTTGCTTTGAAAAGTTTTGTTTTACTTCGTTTTAACCCTTGTTTCTGTCCTCAAGAGTGTTACGAAGTTGTTTTTGAAAACTTTGTTTGAAAAGTGTTTGGTGTGAAAAAGTTTGTTTGTTTGAGCAAGTAACTAGGAACTAATCTACCTACTCGAAAAAAGTCTGTTCATTTTCCTTTTGACAGCGCTATCCCATTATTAAGGAATAGGTAGCACCGTCGTTGGAGTTTTAAGAGACGTTTGAAGGGACAGATACGGTCACGAAAGCAATGTTAGGAAGTGTTAGTAATCATCCTAAAGCCTTAAAGATCTTTTTCCGAGGCAACATCTGAATGGGGTCATTTGAGATCTTTCGGGGCTAGAGGACGACCACTAACAAACCCTATACTTCATGATCGTTTAACCGAAAGCAACCGAAGTGGAGTAAACCCTATGAGTGAGCATGTGCGAGTGTAATTTTTTCAGTTAATTTGTCTTTGCACATTTAAGGTTTTCTACCATTTTAATTTTCCAGTATTCTTTCCATACAATCCTATTAGCATACATCTAACAGTTTATAATTGCGGAAATTAAAATGCGGAAAGTTTAAAGTTCTAGCTATTACATGGCTTTCGCAGATACAGAATTATTTTTAATTGTAAAATAAAAGGCGAAATTAAAACCTAATTAAAGCTATTACAACCTCGGAGCAATTACAATAATAATAAAAAGTAATTAAAAACGTGCGGCGAATTAAATGCGAGTACGATTAGAAAACCTAAGAAATCTAATTGAGAAAAATATTTAAGTTATTTTTGAAGAAAAATTAATTAGGTTATGTACCAAATTAAACCCCAATTCTAATTATTTTTAATCATGAAAATAAGATTTAATTGCCTTAATTTAATTTAATTAATTAATTCAAAGAAATAAAATATTTTATGAAAAAATGATTTTTTGATGTTTTTGTGATTTTTGATTAAAAAGAAATAATTTTGATGTTATTTGAAAAAGAAAAAATAATTAGGAAATAATTAAAAAGAAATAAAATAAAAAAAGATAGAATGGGCCTGTTTGCTGAATGAAAGGGGGTGTATTGTTGAAAATATCCAGACCCATGAAGCTAGTCAGCCCAGTCAATGCTTGATCCCATGTGGTGTTGACCTGAGAGTACACCATGATCCTTCAGTGATAGGCGTTGGATCTAGTTGATCATGAATCCGCTGGTTGGATATGTGTGGTGCATGGTGGACGCTTAGACAAGTGGTGTATAGGATCTGTAAAGAAGAATTAAAACAAAGAAAATTGATGGGACTTGGGATCGAACTCAGGTCCTCCCACTCATTGCAATGCACGCTTCACCAACTGGGCCACATGTTTTGTTTGTTAACATAATAACAATAATATATAATATATAAATCAAGTTAGCTGAGTCACAAACGCGCGCGAAATTCAAAATGGCCAGTCATATCTTGACACACCTTCATCCTCCTCCCTGTTCCATCGTTTTAGACAATGACCCTTTACCCATAGCAATTTCTGTCACTATAGGCTTTAGTGACAGTTTTTGTGCGTTGCTATAGACCTGTAGTATCTCAAAACGCAAAGCAAGCAATATTAATCAGAGCTAAGAACATAGATCCACTAAGAATCTTGTCCTGAGTTCATTGGTATCATTAATCAGTCCTAATTTTGCTTCTACGAGGAATCCCTAATTTGAAGCTTCCAAACCCTAATAATGGCGTAAGCTTGTTCCTGCACTAGAAATCAAATCCAGGCTATCCAAAAGGTCACAAACATGATTATGAATACATTTATGCAAGCAAATCGAATGTAAAATGCGTAAAACCCTGAAAACGAATTTGAGTTACAAGGGTGCAAATTGTGATCTGTATCTTACAGTTTGGGACGTTTTGTGGCTTGAGAATGATTGGAATCACTTCAGAGTACGTCCGGGAACAGATTAATGGCTTTGGAATTGGTTGAATCATACTGCAAATGAAAATCCGACCTACACTTTTCTTTGGAAATTTTGGAATTTGTTCTTGTGTTTTCTCTAATGCCAACCTCTGTTTTCGTGCCTAACCTTGCTCAATATATAACCCTGAATGAATTAGGGTTATAAAAACTACATGTATCTTTGAAAATTTTGAAGATTTGATCTCATTCCTTCCTTGTATGATTTGTTTCCAAATTAGGCCTAATCATTCCATTCTTGTACCAATCCACCTTGATTCGATTTGATTCTGATATGTCAACATAATTGGCTTGTGATCCTGTCCAAAAATCATATCAAAACAAATCTTTGCTATTATTTATCATTTATTTGATTTAATTCAATTTTTAATTAATAATAAATCAAAATAAAATGGAAAATGAAGCAAATAATGTGTGGGTGAATATTTGGGTTGTCGACCATGTTATGAGTGAGGTGCAAGCATAAAAAGTTAGGCCCATTTAACAAAAAGTGCATTTTTTAGCACATTTGACTTTTGGCAATTTTGCAAAAATGGTCAACTTTGACAAGGCATATCTCTTACAATTTTAACCCTAGAGAGGTGTTCTTATACTTTTTAGAAAGCTTAGGATGTCCCGTAAACAACGTTGGTCTCGTCTCAATTGGATCTTCGATGTTCGTGTAAGAAGCTTTGACCCAAAAAGTGTTTTTATTGACTTTTCAAAAGGACCTATAATGTGGAAATTCATATCTTTTTGTGAGTGCGTATTTTGAACTTGAGGGATGAAGATGAATTGTAGGGAATTGCATCCTCTTCAAAATGAGCCTTGTATGAAAATTTTCAAGTATGAGGAAGTTATGCTTAGTCAAAATTTGGTTGACTTTTCCTTAGAAACCCTAATTTATCAACTTTTGGGTTTTGATGAATTTGGGGCATTCCTTGAGGAATCATGATCAACCCTTGATCAAATGATGGATATCACTTCAAAATGTTGATGTTGACCAAAAATCTTGAAGTTTGACTGTATGTTGGCCACAGTTGACTTTTGACATAGTATAGTTGATTTCCAGGCATTTGAGCAGTTGACTGAGCAAACTTCTTGTGCAAGGCATGAAACTTGACATGGATGATCTTGAGAACCTATTAGAACCATGGAAAGCATTTGAGGCCTTTGGAGTTCACTCATCTTGATAATAATGAAAACCCTAGTTTGAGATACATTGCCTTAGGAGAGAATTTGTCTGGTCAACTCTTGGGAATCCTTAAGCAAGTTGAGGACCTCAATGGGCATGTATTGAGTGAAATGAGAGGGAAAATTTTGGGGTACAATAGCTTCCCCTGTTTAAACTTCTTAAACCTGAGGATGTAGATTGGCTTGTCTGCCTTTCGTGATCTGAAGGTGGAAGATGATTGAACACTAAGTGCCCAGAAATTTGCACTCGTCTGAGATGTTGCGGGACTGTGTAGGTAGTATCGGTAATGGGATTACAGATGCCATTTGGAAAATATGACGGAGAATCATCGGAGATGGGCTCAAAGATGCCATTCGACAGAGGTGACGGTGAAGCGTCAGATATGGGCTTAAAGATGCCATTCAGAATAATGTTGATTTTGTGAGATATTCCTTCGGTGATGATTCCTGTTCCTGTCATTGAGGAGGGATCTGCTGAGGAATGTCGGTCTCTGTCTTGGGGGAAGTAGAATTTTAGGAGCTTCAGTTGTCTGTTACTCTACTGCATAATCCTCTTTTATTCGAGGAGGTGAAAGTGAACTGTTATCTGGTCGTGCTCCAGGCTTTACAGTGATTTGCTGAGGATAATAAGATTAACTGCTATCTGGTCGCGCTCCAAGTTTCACAGTGACTTACTGGGGAGATGAGATTAAACTTGCTATCTGGTCGTTCTCCAGACTTTGCAATTTCTCAATTCTTAGTTGGTCGTGCTCCAGGCTTTAGAAGGATTTAAGTGGTTATCTGGTCGCATCCGGGTTTCAACTTGAACTTGAGGCATAATAATATCCGGTCGATTTCCGGGATTCATAGTAATTGGCCGAGTAAACTGCTATTTGGTCGAATTCTAAGCTTCGCAGTACCTTATACTGTTATCTGGTCGTGTCCCAGGTTTCACAGTGTCCTTTACTGCTATCTGGTCGTGCTCCAGTCTTCACAGCATCTTATACCGTTATATGGTCGTGCGCCAGGCTTCACGGTGTCTTATACCACTATCTGGTCGATTCCAGGCTTCATAGTATCTTGTACTGTTATCCGGTTGATTTCAAGGCTTCACAGTATGATGGGGA